CCTGGGGGCTGCTAGAAGTAGAGTCTGGATGAGGCTGGGCCGCATCAAGTATTCCACCACCATGGTGGTGGTGGGCCGCTTATCCCACAGCCGGCCCGGGCGCCGCTGGCGCTTTGAAGGCCGCAGGGCCCCTCCCCCGTGCCCCGCCTGTCCCGGCAATTGGCCTGCGGGCCGCAAGTTTGAGACCCCTGGCATAAAGGTTCATCAGAGTGATTCTGCTCCATTCTGGATGTTTCTGAACTGTACTAAATAAACCCACACTTACTATGTTCTGAGTCTAGCGGATGAAACTTGCTGCAGTAGAGACCCCCAGCAGATCATAAATAAACAGATCATAGACTGGTATCTAGGAGTTCCCTACTAACAGTAGTGCCCAAAAACACAAGGTGAAAGGGGCACTACTTGTGAACATTACTAGTCTACATCTCACCCTGGAAAATACTTCTGTCACAGGTTTTCAGCAGTAAGATTGAGCAAAAAAGAGGACTATTTACTTGAATGCAGAGACTAAACCTGCAACAAAACTGGAATCCCAATTTTTTTCTCCAAACCTGTTTTAACAATATTGCAAGTGATGTTTGCTTGTTAGCTAAGATATTCATTGGAGGCTCTAAGGATTCCCATCTTCAGAAAGGTAAAGACAGGACCTTCTTTGTACTCCCAATACTATAAGCATATTTGCCTGGCACCAAGCTAAATCTTTGTAGAAGAGGTAGCAACTAAAACCATCCCAAAGAAAAAGGAGTGCAAGAAAGCAAAATGGCTGTCTGAGGAAGCTTTACAAATAGCTGAGGAAAGAAGGGAAGTGAAAAGCAAGGGAGAAAGAGAAAGATACACCCAACTGCAGAATTCCAGAGAATAGCTAGAAGAGATAAGAATGCCTTCTTCAATGAACAGTGCAAAGAAATAGAAGAAAACAATAGAATAGGGAGGACCAGAGATCTCTTCAAGAAAATTGGAGATAGGAAGGGAACCTTTCAGGCAAAGATGGGCATGATAAAGGACCAAAATAGCAGCGACCTAACAGAGGCAGAAGTGATTATGAAGATTACACAGAAGAACTATACAAGAAAGAGCTTAACGTCTCTGATAACCATGATGGGGTGGTCACTGACCTCAAGGCAGACACCCTGGAATGTGAAGTCAAATGGGCCTTAGGAAGTCTGAACAACAACAAAGCTAGTGGAGGTGACAGCATTCCAGCTGAGCTATTCAAAATCTTAAAAGACGATGCAGTAAAAGTGCTACACTCAATATGCCAGCAAATTTGGAAAACTCAACAGTGGCCACAGGATTGGAAAAGGTCAATTTACATTCCGATCCCAAAGAGGGCAATGCCAAAGAATGTTCAAACTACCGCATCATTGCACTCATTTCACATGCTAGCAAAGTTATGCTTAAAATCCTACAAGCTAAGCTCCAGCAGTATGTGGACAGACAGGATTTCGAAGAGGGAGAGGAACTAGAGATCAAATTGCCAACATACGCTGGATCATGGAGAAAGCTAGGGAGGTCCAGAAAAACATCTATTTCTGCTTCATTGACTACGCTAAAGCCTTTGATTGTGTGGATCACAACAAATTGTGGCAAGTTCTTAAAGAGATGGGAGTACCAGACCATCTTATTTGTCTCTTGAGAAACCTATATGAGGGTCAAGAAGCAACAGTGAGGACTAGACACGGAACCACTGATTGGTTCAAAATTGAGAAAGGAGTTCGGCAAGGCTGTATACTGTCGCCCTGCCTATTTAACTTATATGCAGAACACATCATGAGAAAGGTGGGGCTAGATGAATCACCAGTTGGAATTAAGATTGCTGGGAGAAATATTAAACACCTCGGATATGCAGATGATACCACTCTAATGGCAGAAAGTGAAGAGGAACTAAAGAGTCTTTTGATGTGGGTGAAGGAAGAGAGTGCAAAAGTTGGCTTGAAACTCAACATTAAGAAAACTAAGATCATGGCACCCGGTCCTCTCACTTCCTGGCAAATAGATGGGGAAGAAATGGAGGTAGTGACAGAATTTATTTTCCTGGGCTCCAAGATCACTGCAGACGGGGACTGCAGCCAAGAAATTAAAAGACGCTCCTGGGGAGGGAAGCTATGGCAAATCTAGACAGCATACTAAAAACCAGAGACATCACCCTGCCAACAAAAGTGTGTATAGTTAAGGCTATGGTTTTCCCAGTTGCAATGTATGGCTGTGAAAGCTGGACCATAAGGAAGGCTGAGCGCTGAAGGATTGAGGCCTTTGAATTGTGGTGCTGGAGGAGACTCCTGCGAGTCCCTTGGACCACAAGATGATCAAACTGGTCAGTCCTAGAGGAGATCAACCCTGACTGCTCTTTAGAAGGCCAGATACTGAAGATGAAACTCAAATACTTTGGCCACCTAATGAGAAGGAAGGACTCCCTGGAGAAGAGTCTAATGCTGGGAACAATAGATGGCAAAAGGAGGAGGGGACGGCAGAGAATGAGGTGGTTAGATGGAGTCACTGAAGCAGTTGGTATGAGCTTGAGTGGACTCCAGGGGATGGTGGAGGACAGGAAGGCCTGGAGGAATGTTGTCCATAGGGTCGCGATGGGTTGGACACGACTTTGCAACTAACAACAGCAACAACAAGCTAAATCTATTTGCTTAATCTTTTAACTGCAATTAATATTAACCTGCTTTTAGTTGTCTCCCATTTATTTAGGTTGGTGACCCTTTTTCCCTTGCTATTGAATTCATTTTATTGTTGGCATTACATACAGTTTTAAATGATGCCTTGATGCTGCACTGAGTTTCCATCTAGTAGAAAGGTGGGATGCATATTTTTGAATGTATTATAGCATTACCTTCCTATCCTCCAGTGTGATACACTGCATCATCTAACATTACTGCCCTTTTCTAACTAGACAGAGTTCAGAAAACAGTGGCAAGATATTTCAGTCTGTTAACAACCTGTTGTTGATCACAATGTTACTATATTCATTAGACCTAAAACTGAAGAAGTCTAGTGAAACAATAAGAATCCAGTGATACCTTAAACATCAACAAATTTATTATGGCATAAGCTTTGTATCTCCTTAAGTGCCTGATCCTGCCTAATCTTGGAAGCTAAGCAGGGTTGGGTCTGCTTGAAATCTGGATGGGTGACTTAATGTTGTGAATCCACAACCCAGAGAGCGTCAGTTACAGGCAGACTAGAAATGTAAATAATAATAAGCATGTTCAAGCAAGGCAGTACACTCAGACATTCCATATTAAACAGTTGGAAAACCACTACTCAGTATGGAAACAAAAAAGTGAGAATTGTATTTCCATCTAGGTTTTTTCATGGGTTATGGTAGTTTTTGGGTTAATGTCTATGCAAGGCAGAGGATGGTTTGTCTGTGAGCCTGATGAGTGCCAAATAAGGAGGTGCCTCTTTTTATCATGCTGTGTAGGGCTGCCAGAGTTTAAAACAACAAGCTGCCTTGTAGAGTTGGTGTAATTCAAAATAAGTGATGTTCCTCCAAATGCAGGAATGAAATGGGAAATGTCCATTGCAATCTTACATGCCACAGAAAAATGCATCCCTAAGTTCAATGGAGGTTACTCTTGCTGCTAGGTCTGTACAATGAATTTTATATTGATACAGCACATTCTCATACTTATTCCTAGGAAAGCTTGCAGTAGACTGCAGCCTTAAAATGGAAAAAGTATAGACAAAAAACCCTCTCCCCCCCAATTCATGCTCCTCAGATGTAGACAATTTCACATGACTAACTGGTCAGGACACATTTTAAGGTGGTCATTTCACAGATGTGAGTGGACCCCTTGCATTCAAAATTATTTCTGGTAGTTAAGTTAACCTTAGCTTGAGTCTTAGTTCACCTAAACAAATCAAGGACATCTCTCATGGTATAATTAAAAAATACCAGGATGAGGATAGAAGAGTAGTGGGAAAGCTATTTTTTTAATGAGGGCTTTTAGGTGAAAGCTTATATATATTGATCTTGTTACTAGTTTATTCTTCTTGGGGAAGACTAGTTCTGAGGCCTCTAAGAAACGCATTCAACAAAGCAACTTAATATTCTTCGTGGTAGCTAGGAGCCAGTGACAGGAACTATTATCTGACCCTGTGTAATACAAAGCAGTGCGTTCACTTCTCAGCAGTGAAATTCGTTTGTAGTAGACATTTTGCAGTCAGACTTGGATCTCCTGTCTCTGAAGTAAGCTGTTCTCTGTCCCCATCATCTATGTCGCTTACCTAGCAGGAAGACAATGATGGGATGAGCCTCTGAGGTAGGGTGCGGGCAAAGGAGACAACTTAGCTCAGTCGCTTAGGACCACCCTCCACAGAATACTCGCTATCGTAGTATGTGTGCCAGCGGGGGGAGGTACACCACACCGCAGCTTCAGTGCTGGGGAAATGTGATTTCCAAACAAAAGGGTCACGAAAGGGCCAGTAGTTTTAATTCCTCGCCAGTGGGTTCCAAGTAATCGTTCCTATGGCTTAATGCGCAGGTGCGACTTTCCCCATTCTCCTGTCTCCACAGAAGGGAGACACCTTTTTTTCTAGCCTATCTGAAACCACCCTTCCAGCCCCCCCCCCCCCCCCGCTTTATTTCACGCTTAAGCCTGCTAGAAGACTTCTTTTTTGCTACGCTTTTGGCGTGCTGCTCCTCCTCACGAGATGGGCATTGTTTCTCTAGCGGTGCGCAGTTTACGCAGTCCTGTCAGGCCGGCAGCCATGAGCAAAACGCTACGCCAGATGAATGGAATGGTTCGCTGTGGTTTTCGCGTACGGAGATACCGCAAGTGTGCGATGGGAGCAGAACGCGTAAAACACGCCCTCCCTCTTATTCTCCACACCGTTGTACTAAGTGTGGCTGGGCGAAAGCCTCGCGCTGGGAGACGCTCTTTAACGAGTGTCCGGAGTGGTGATTCCCGATCCTTGGTTACGCTTCTTGCGCAGCAGTCGGAGGAGGAGAAGTACCAGCCAGTTCCTTTCTCCGCCGACTGTCTCTGCGCCGTTGGCGTAACATGCCCCAAGATGGCGTCGCGGTCGTCGTCGGTGGCGGCGGTGGCCGGAGCGCTGGCAGAAGCTGCAGTGCCGACGTGGGAAGAGCTGAGAGGGGAAATGAGGCGGCGGGTGGAGGGTGGCAGCATTAGTAGCGAGTAGCAGCTTCAGAGAGGGTCTCCCCTCCCTCGGCCAGTGTGTGAGGCAGAGGCTCTCGGGAATAGCGGGTCCCCCGCCCCCTCAGGCAGGGAGACCCCGACCTTCCCCTGCGTGGAGCCGACACCCTTTTTTCGGCCTGTCCCGCTGCTGCCTCTCTGGTGGGTTCTCCCACCGCTTCCCCAGAGCGGAGGATGATGAAGCTCAAATCCAACCAGACTCGCACGTACGACGGGGACGGATACAAGAAACGGGCAGCTTGTCTCTGCTTCCGCAACGAGAGCGAGGAAGAGGTTGGTGAGAAGCAGATGGGCTGGGATTGACCGGGGCGGTAGGGGGTGGGGGGCCGGCGGCTCCTGAAGGGGCGAGCGGGAAAGGTGGCCCTTGAAGCTGGGGCGGGGGGGGGGCGAGGAAGAGGCGAGGAGTACTAAAAGGGGCTAAGTAATGGGACACTCGACATGCGAGAGAGGAGGTGTGGCAAATCGGAGGCTCTCAAGGGGAGAGAGATGGGGGAGGCTGCTGAATGGTGCTGAAAGAGGGACAGAGGATGAGGAGAGGGGTGGAGCTTGTGAGCTTGTTGAAGAATTCGTGTGTAGGGTGGTGGACAGGAAGCAGTTTTTAAGAATGGTGCCCCTTTGATACGATCTTGCTTAGACATTCCTTTTTGCCGATACAGTAGTTATAATGCATGCTGCCGTCAGTAAGAGCGTGAGGGAAGGGCTTCCTTCGTGGATAGTAGCGTGAGAACATGATAAAATATTGTTACTAGGCGAGAAATTGTCCCCCTCCCATGCGGTTCTGCTGTTTGTAAAGCTTTTGTGCTAGGGAGATGACAATACTTTTCGAACAAGAGAACCTGTTTTCCACTTTAAGGGATGTGCGCGCGCGCTTCTTACTCTCTGAATTAGAGAATACCTTCAATGGAAGCAGTATTAATTTAAAAGAGTAAGTTACTGGCTAAACGAAGGGAGTCAGTAACGAAGGTGGATAGAGAGCCCTGAATTCTTTCGCATATAAATATATTTACATATATAATTCAGAGTTTTCAGAAGCACAAAAGAAGTAAGATTAGTAAAGTGCAATAGGAAGGAAGGAACTATGTTGACCAGAACTTTGTAAATTTATCTCACACAAGTGGGGATGGTTCAGGGCAATCTTTTGTATGAGAATCCCAGTGTTCAATAAGGTTTATCCTCAAGTAAGTGTGTAAGATTGTAGCCTGAAGGGTGCTGATGCACACAAAGAAATTATGGATAAAGGAGCATAATGTATTTTGTTGGTTATTGCAATTGCTAAAACAAGTTGTAGTATCTCCTTTATATAAGACTGCAACAAGTAAATTGCTTGCTTAGATTGCAAGCTCTTTGGTGTCAGGGAGGAACCCTCTTTTTCTGCTTATAAAATATTGTGAAGTGCCATGTGAATTGTAGACCTAATATTTAATAATGAGTGTAAAAACCTTTTGCAATCCTTCCTTAAAAATTAGAAGCATGAGCAAGCAGAATCTACTTTGGAATAGAGTAAGTGTAATATTTTAGTATGAGAATAGCAGGGGAAATAAAATGATTGAAATCACCATTTGGTTTGTAGAATTTTTACATGTAGTAATAGTTTTTTCAAAGCATAATTAGAAAATGAGAGCTCTGCATAGTGATGGAAAATAACTCCTCTTTCTCTGAATGAGGAAAGCATGCAGAAAGAAAGATTTGTAACAATGAAAGGTGACACAAACTGGTGTGGCATAGTATGTTATGGGATTTGGCAGTGGTCAGCTGTTGCCATGCTCAGTTGAGCACATCATATGACATGGCAGAAGGAAATTTGATTCTGAATTTATAAAAAGAAACTGGGATAAAAGGGGCTGGTTACCTGCCAGAATTTGCCATTAGGGTACTTTAGAGGAAAGTGGGATCGATTTAGGTTTGTTTATACTGACTATTATCTTGAATACTGTGTTTTAATTCAAACTAAATATAATTTCAGTAAAGACTGTGCAGCTGAGGAAATTGAGGTATGTATACATGGCATGTACAATGTCTTAATGTATGTAAAACACTCTGTACACTCCTGTTTTATTACACCTTACAGTAACTTTCTAAGTTAGGTCAAGTATTGTTATTTTCATATTCCAGCTGATGAGTTGAGATTGAGAGAGAGCAGTTTGCCTTGGCTATATAATGATTCTACAACTAATGTAAGAGTAAAGACTTCCTGGGAGTCCTAAGTAAGCTGTTGTTGGGGCTTTGTTACCAGTTACATGGCACTACTTATTTACCATTCCCAAATAAATGTCTGTCACATTTTGCAGTATTGAGAAGGTAGGCTGTATTGAGAAGGTAGTATTGAGTACTTGCAGTATTGAGAAAGTAGGCTGAAGTCAGCAGCTGTATAGGACCATACCATTCTTACTGACATCTTCAATCACCTCATACTGCTGCAGGGCAGAGATCAAGAGCAGCAGTTCCTTCTCCTTCAGATTGTCTTGGTGGCAAAGGAATAAGTTGGACTACATTGCTTGAGTCTTTATATGGGTTACAAGGCAACATTGTCACATCCAGTTTGGTTTACTTCATTTACTATTTCCTAGACCATTTCCATTACATTTGGAACTGGAAGAGAATAATTAGCAAGGGATAGATGAATTAAAGTACAGCCTTGATGACATGAGAAAGCATCTCGTTTTTCTACCATTATGTTTGCCTGTATATTGGTGTGCTTTATATTATGTATTGTAGGTTGCAGCTATCTGTTTCAAAAGTAGTGTAACCACATTTAAAAATATAAAGCAGTTCATTTAAAATTACAGAACAGTTAACAATAAAAGCAGTACAATAAAGTCACCACATCACAATCTAAGATAACTTCGGTAGTTAATACATACTAAAAATTGCAGCAGCAATAAAAACAAGTAGTGCTTTTAAAAAGTATTTTGACAATGTTTCTTTTGTTTTATTTTCAGTGAACTCAAAGTGACTTGCAACAAATCATTAATACAATAAACATCAGACTACAGAAGGATAAGCCAAAAGACAAACTGTATTAGAAACAGAGTACTTAAATCAATAAAATATCCCCAGCAGACTAAAAGCATAAAAAGGGGAATAACTCACACTGCAGCAACTAAAAATCAGTAAATATAAAATCAGTTAATCTAAAAGCATTTTGAAAAAGGTGTTGCCTGATATCAGAAAGCATTTTTGGTATTAGGGCTGTCTGGGGAGGGCATTTCAGACTACTATGGGGTATCCTAAGAATGTAAGAGCCATGCTAGATTCGACCAAAGGCCTGACTGGCATTGGTGTGGCCTATCAGATGCCTTTAGGAAGTCCACAAGCAGGAGATGAGTGCAACAACTAATACATACAACTATTTGTGCTCCCCAATATCTTGAATTCAAAGATCCTCCTTCCAATACTGTAGGTAACATATAGCCATCATGACTAGTAGTCACTGATAACACTGATGTATTAAATCTGTCTAACCCACTTTTGAAGCTGTTTAAGTTGGTATTCATCAGTATATTGTGGGAGTGAATGTCATAGTGTTGTGTGTAGAAGTAGTTGTTTTTATCTGACTTGATCCTGGGTTCTAGTATTATGAGAACAGGGGAAAAACTTCTCCCTACCCTCCCTCCATGTCTACATCATATATAGTTTCATATGACTCTATCATATCTGTCCATGCTTCCCTTTTTTAAAAGTGTTGTTAGATGTGGTAAACTATCACTTGATGTAAAACATTTATTTATTTATATTATTACAAGAAAGACCTGTTCTTACCAGATACTAGATACATATCGGTTGGCAGGTGCACACAGAACAGGACCTCAGATATAGAATTGAGTGCATAGACTGGCGCTTACAGGAGGAAGTGGCCTGAAGTCTCAGGTTCTGATAATTATAAAGGTAAGGAACAGCACTTAAAGTGGACTATGCAAACAAATTGCCATTTTTTGTAGATCTGAGATTTAAGGAAACTGTACAGCTAGCATATTAGATGATTTTAATCAGATTTCACTTTTTTAAACCATCATTGTTAAAAGGAAGGAAGTTAGTATGATGGTGCAATGATTTGGAGGTGAGGTCATTTGTATATCAGGAAATGATATTCTTTCAAGAATCTGCATGCTTTCTGCATACAGATCAGCATTTGTAAAACAAACTTGGCTATTAGTATGCTCTGCACACTTGCACCAGTAAAGCTAGATTTCAGTAGGCTGGATATAACATTTTTAGCTTCATGGACCATGTTTATGAAGGCAGGAATGCCTGTGTGCTATTTCTTTTTCCTTCTTATCTCAGTTACTGGCTTTGACATGGCACTGCTGTCTTGTTAAAGACTCTGAACTCTGGTTTAATGTCTGTTTACTATCCAGACATTAATGTAGGACTCTGCACTACTAACTTGGTATGTGAAGGAAGGAAGAAAATCCATGCTTGGTCCCCTCATGGAAGCCGTGACAGTCTGGAGCTGTCCAAGGAGGAGAAAAAACCTTTCATGCTAGAAATGGATAACTAGTTTTATAATTGAGAAGTTAGTAACACATCTGTGATCATTCTTAGCTATGCTTTGTCCCAGTAAGAATGTTTTGAAAGTCATTGAGTTGCATAGACATTTCTGTGTTTTGAGTGGAATGCTTGCTGACAGAGTTCAGCAGATTATGGTAAATTCTAATATACCTGCTAAGATTTATTTATTTTAGAATGAGGAGGTATATGCTAGTGCTAGTATTTTTAGTATTGAATCTTAAGGAGAGGTTGCACATACTTGTTTTCCCAAAAGCTATGGTTTTGAAGAAAATGGGATTGTAAAATGATTTTGTTCACAAATCTCTATTTTTCCACATACAAGTAAAGTGCAGTTTATACCCCCCAGTCATGTATATGGATATTACCAGAGATCAGGAAAATTCTTGTAGTGCACCACCCAACACTTTCAGTACCAGGTGCTTTGGTGGCTAAATGGTGCAATGCTGCTGACATGGACAGCAATTCTAAGCATATTCACAGGGAGCTAAGTTCTGTTGAGCACAATAAGACTTACTTCTGAATAAACTTGTTTGCTATTAGGCTAAAAGATAAAGGTTTCCCCTTGACATGAAGTCCAGTCATGCCTGACTCTAGGGGGCAGTGCTCATCTCCATTTCCTAGCTGAGGGAGCCAGCGTTTGTCTGCAGGCAGTCTCTGTGGTCATGTGGCCAGCATGACTAAACACCGAAGTGCACGGAACGCTGTTACCTGCCCACCAAAGTGGTACCTTTTCATCTACTTGCATTTGCATGCTTTTGAACTGC